TTCTAAAATCTTCAGTTAAATATGATGGGAAGTTCTTCTCCAATATTCAAAATATTACCATTTCATTTTATCTGAATAATATCCACTCTATTTTATTGGGTAATTAAATCTAAATAAGAGAAGGATGGAAAGTTATGTTTCACATGATTAACAAAATATGCAGCTGCTAAAGTTTTTTCTTTAAGCTAGAAAATATTTGGGATAACCTGTTTGAAAGTTACCAAATTACTACCCCAGAGACTTGAGGGGAAAATGAGGAACAAAAGTACTTAAGTAGGCAAGGCCAGAAAAGCACAGCCATCCAAAATATAAAAAAACCTCAAGCTCTTTCCAAGGAAGTAACAGGGAGTCAGACACAAAGGTGCTATGCAGCAATGGTGCTGCATGTTCACCTGTGTAATGAGATGCTTTTGATACAAGTGTCTCAGGTTAAATTAGCAGGAAAGTTGGTAAAATACAATGAAGGCATAACAATAAATATCACTAAACCATTCTACACTAAACAATTAGGGATTATTACAAAACATTGCAGTCCCCAGCACTGTGAAAAACAGGTTCCTCTGTTGTCTAGAAACTGAAAAGAATAAATTAACTTTCACTGTATAAAAAGCATTTCTCTTTTTCCATGGCACAGACAGCCTTGAAAAAATAAAAGAAAAATAAATAGGACTGTGACAAGTGGTTACACATCAGCTCTAGTGAGTAGGCTCAGTAACCTTCACCATACATATTTTTCTGTACTGATCTCCAAGTACTTCCTACACAATCCATTACACAAGCTAGCTACCCTTTCAGTCACAATTTTTATTCTCAAGGCCCGAATTAAACCTCCTGATTCTTAACAATGTTTTTCTTCTTGTCCTGCCTAAAATGGACCTGTTTACAGCAACCTTTCTATTTAACGGAACATTTCTACACAGGCCTGTTCAAAGTGTCCTCTTTGCCAGATAAAGGGAAAAAAAGAAAAAAAAAGGAAGAAAAAAAAACAAAACCAAACAACCAACCAAACAACAACCAAACAAAAAACCCAACCAAAAAGAACCAGGTTTTTGAGCCTGTCCTCCTAGGTCATATCTTCAAGACTTCATACCTTTCTTCATTCCTTCCCTCTAAACTTTCCCAGGTGGTCCAAATCTTGCCAGAATAGAACCAGTTCTTCAGTGTGACTGCATTGCTAATTGATACCTTCTCATCCATTAAACTGACAGTTTTCTGCTATAAAATTGCAGCTTAATCAGTCACACACCTTTATAGATTTTTCCTATGTAAATGTAGTTTACAAAATATTTGACCTTGAATTACACCTTAGTGCAGGCTGTTTCTCCCATTTGTTGAGACTGTGTTCTGTGCTCCACCCTCCTGCCAGTTTAGCACTATCTGCAAATTTTAACACTGTATATTTTAATCTTTCATCAGAATTATTAATAGAAACACTGAACATGAGCAGATACAGAATGAAGCCTTGCAGAATTCTGTTTAACAAACACCAGTTTGACACTGAACCATTACAGTAGATAAGCTCCTGAGAAGGGAAGCTCTTCACACCTCATTAGTAATTAAGTACAGCTCACAAACTGAGGTACATTAATTTAAGTAAGGGGTTTTTTAGTTGCTTTTGAGAACATTAATTTAAAATATCAAAAGATTTATTGTCTTCAAGATCCAGAAATCTATTCTTCTTCTATGTGCACAAGTTGTGTTACAGCGTTCCAAAGGAAATCAAACATATCTGCATTTGAAAAATGCAAGCTTTTTTTACTGTGCCTGTGAACTGCTTTTTGCAGTTGCTTAGAATGTAAACACTTAGCTCATACTCATTAGGAAAAAATTATCTAATGCTGACAGCATTATATGTTCTCTTAGATCAGTTCTATATGTGTGTGGCCCACAAGAATGAAGATATAATAAACACTAAATAAGTATGATATCTTGAAACTAACCATACCTAAGAAAAACTGCACCAAAATCCATCTGTTAACCTCCATTCTTTAAAAATAAAATATTTACTGCAACCAGAGCCCCAAACCAGAAAAGGAACATTGAAACAGATCTGCCAATTCCACCCGCACTGAAGCAGTCGTTACATGCACACTCAGTAAATAACTGAATAGAAAGTTTACAACATACTTCATAAATTGCAAACATAAAGGACAAGGGAAAATCTCCTTAAACACCCCACAAAAGAATGTGGTCAAGGACCATTAAAATAAAACCCAGTGTCATGTCCACAGTTTCAGAAAGTTATTTCTGTTTTAATATGTTGTATCTCATACAGAAAGCAATTCTAATATTCTGACAGTATGTAAAATTCTGAGCAAGTCAGAGGAGTTAGACTAAAAGTAAGAGATTATATTGGGCCAATGTCCACTGGATCTTTTACTTCAGGCATTATAATTCCACATTTTACTAAAAATGAGTGATTGCAACCGTGTTTTATTCATTTAACATAGCACAGACGAGCTAAAGCAGACTGAAACAACAGAAAATTATTCAAGATGACAGATCTACAAAGAAATCTGCCATTTGGTAAACCAGCTGGTCATAATTAGACAAACTCATTTTTGAAGGGAGGACACAAAATCTTCAGTAATCAAGCCAGTTAAACCAACAAGCACACTAGTTACAAAAAGACATAGCAGGTGGAAGATCCTTTTCCCTCTTAACCAGGAATAAAAACACTTGTCCTCACGTTTTCTAAACCAATTCCACGTTTGAGAGAGGCAGCATCTTGTTTCAAGTGCAGAGCTGGGAGTTACTCAGAGAGTCACCTCCTTAAGAGCTAACAGAAATCATGAAAACTCATCTCTAAGATCCTGATCCACAGCTGTATGTACTATGCAGGGTGTGATGTCAATTATTTATAAACAAACAGCACCCTGATCTCCTTCTACAATAGCACACAGCCAAGGTGTGAAGAACTGACTCAGCAGGTACTGGGTCTTCACAGGCTTTGCAAGTAACACAGCTGATCATCCATGACTAAAACCAAAGAATAACAGGACTCTTGTAGTAGCGTAAAGCATATAATGTGGTGTTCCGTCTTCATGTGTCCACACAAAACTGAGAACCAAATGTGCCACCATAACACTTTCTTCTCCCTGTTGTACAGGTCAGAAAAAATGTCCACCTGTAGCTTCAAATACAAGCTTAGGAACAATTAAATTAAAACATCCAAACCCGCAAAATTTTAAGATCAACAGTGGTTTTAAATGAACGCAATTGACTAAGAAATATAGCTGCCAAAATATTATGCAATTTAATGCAAATTTCTACTTCACTGGAAAAAAAAATTTTTTAAAGAAGATTTCAGCTTCTCAGTACACAGTGAGGAATGCGAATGTGGTAAGACCATCACACTCCTTGTATTATCAGCCAGCTTTCCAGGTTTACCATTCACACATCACCACTTCAAAAGATTTGCCCCCTGCTACTGAAAGACAGTGAGGTCTTCTCTCACACAAACCGCTTACTCTGGGCCAAGCACCCTCTCACTGAGGTGGTGCACTCAGGTAATACAAGTCACCTTGCTGAACAGAGAGAACATCAAGGAACTGGGAATAAAAGGTGGTTACTCCCTGTAAGATAAGAACTGGCCACACAGACGTTTGGAAGTCTGAAGAAGGAAGTCCCCCCTGCTTCAGAAGTGCTAAATTACAGGACTGGCTCAGCAGCACTAGAACCAGCAGCTGCAGGCTGGCACATTGCTGTGTGGCTGGATTGCTGGGAGCCCATCCCGTCCAAGCTGCTAAGCACAAGATTTGTGGCAGGTGTGCTAAGAGACTATACAATGCATAATATCCAAATCCTCCAGTGCAGGAAGAGCATTACACTTGGATAGTCTTTACTAGAGTTCTGGGAAAATCTTAGCTATTGCTTCACTTTTAAACATGAGTGCTAAAATGTATCTAAATACAGTGACAAAATTAGTATTTTATATTTTTTAAATCCTCCAGCAACCATGGGAGTTCTAAGGTAGATAAAACACTAGCTGGAGTCAGTTGAAGCCATGGCATTGTAACAGTCGAAGTGAATCTAATCAACATGATGCTGGAAATGGTGTAGCAGCTGGTCTCCCAGTGCTGCCACTACCAATCAGTAAGCATCATTGTAATGTCTCTGCCAATCCAGATTTCCACAACCACGATTTCTATGTTGCAACAATGCTAACGGAAGTGAGACAATCTGGATGTAGTACTGTCAAAGTATTTTTTAATGGAAACTGTTTTAAAGGCACAGATCTGACACCATGGTAGGTTACAGAAAGCATTTTAGCACTTCCACAGGAAATTGCAGATGTAGTTGTGGTACACACTGGTATGCCTGTGCTACTTTTAATCTGTTAAAATATTTTTTAATTAGTCAAAGCACAACCATTAACTTGTACTAATGGTAAATACGTGTTCCAGTGAATCACAGATATCCATTATGCAAGATGTCTGTAAAACAGGCTGGACAAGACACACGCTCATTTCGACTTCTGACTATAGAATCGTTAAGGTTAGAAAAGATCTCAAAGATCATCCGAGCACAACCATTAAATCGACTGTGCCAAAAACGTTCAGCAATTCTTCACGTCTATTTGTAAACAGAGATGCATTTTTTCTGATGCATTTTTCAAACAACACTTTTATCCCTTCAGCACAAAATTATAAACGTATTTCGGCCAGAATACTCCTGTGTATACCGCACCAAGGCGCACTACTGCTGGCTGAGCCGTGCCAGGGCAGGACGATGGGGGCAGAGCGCGCGTGCAGGTACCGGGCTGGCCCGAGAGGTAACGCCCGCAGTCCCAGCGCGCCCCGCAACACCGGAATACTGCCCCACACCGCCAAACTCCCGGGAAAAGCCGCGGGAAAGAGCTACCAGCCCACCTCCACCTCGGGAAGGGGAGGACTAGGGGAGGGAAGGGTTGCGCCCCCACCCCAAGGGCCGCCCCGGCCCCGCCGCGCCCAGCCCCGCCTCCCCACCGCCCGCGGAGGGCGGGCTCTGCTCCCGCCTACCCGCTGGTGCTGGGGAGCGCTGGGCGGCGGCGCTGCCCCTCGACCTCGAGGCTCTCGCCTGCCCCGGCCCCCGCCTCCTCGTTGTCCGTAAGCGCCGCCTCTTCCCCGGCCCCCGCCTCCTCCGGGAGCGTGGCAGTCCCCGCTGCTTCTTTCAGCTGCTGCTTCGGCCGCGCTGCTAGGTCGCCGCCGGCCGTGCCGGACCCCTTCCCTGCGGGCCCGGCTGCCGCCCCGCTCCGCCTGCATGGCCGGGCTGCGCCTCCCGGGCCGCGGCGCCGCGCCCGCCCCGCCCACTACCGGAAAGGGGCCACTTGCCAGGGCCACAGGGAAATGGCGGCGTCCGCGACCTCCGCAGCGCCCGCTGCCGGTGGCTGGCGCGCGGCCCCGGGACACTGTCAGCCCCGCGCCTCCCGGGACAGCCCCGCACGTCCCGGGGACAGCCGCGGGCAGTGGCCGCGGAATGCTCTGCCGCTGCACCCTCTAGAGGTCTCAACGAGCAAGGAGTGGAAAATCGCTATCCACATGTATTAAAAATAAAGAAAAAGAACTACAGCAAATATGTATTTACTGTTTAGAAAACAGTATGGTGAACTAAAGCCGCATGAATCATGGAATTGTTTAGGTTGGAAAAGACCTCTAATGACACTGAGTCCAGCCATTAACCCAGCACTGGCATGTCCACCAATAAACTGTGTTCATAAGCACCACATCCACACATCTTCTAAATACCTCCAGGGATGGTGATTCTACCACTTCCCTGGGCAGCTTGTTGCAATCCCTGACCACCCTTTTGGTGAAGAAGTTTTACTAATATCCAATCTAACCCTCCTGTGGTGCAAGTTGAGGCTATTTCCTCTTGTTGCTTGCTACCAGGGCAGGGAGAATGAGCCCCACCTGGCCACAACCTCATTTCAGGTAGTTGTAGAAAGTCATAAGGTCTCCCCCGAGCCTCCTTTTCTCCAGGTTAGACAAACCCAGCTCCCTCAGCTACTCCTCCTTTGTTCCAGTCCCTTCACCAGTTCTTTCTCCCGTCTCTGAACACACTCCAGCACCTCAATGTCTTTCTCATAGTGAGGGGCCCAGAACTGAACATAGGACTTGAGGTGCAGCCTCACCAGTGCCAACTACAGAGGGAAAATAACTGCCCTGGTCCTGCTGGCCAAACTATTGCTGAAACAAACCAGGATGCCATTGGCCTTCTTGGCCACCTGGGAACACTGCTGGGTCGTGTTCAGCCAGCTGTTGACCAGCATCTCCAGCTCCCTTTCCACAGGTCAGCTTTCCAGCCACTCTTCCACCAGCCTGTAGCATTGCATGGGATTATTGTGACCCAAATGCAAGACCTTTGCTTTCTGTAGCAAATGAGGAAAAAAGCAACTGATCTCAAGCTGACAGGGTGTTACACAGAAGGTTGCACTACAGGAACCCCGTGAGGTGACTCCACAGCCACTGGAGGAGTGTCCTCCTCTGAGGATGCAGAGCAGAGACACGGGAACAGCTTTGTGCCATGCTGGTTTGTTCTGCTTGTCTTGAACTAAGTAGCCACCCATGTGTCTTCGTGAAAGTTCACCAGTTTCCTAACACCAGCTTGCCAGATCCCTCTTGAGCATGCAGGCTGTCATTTGACAACACATATTAAAACATCAATCTGGTTTTGAAGGTTTTTAAACCCAGTAGCCCTTCCAGCAAAATATGACCACAACTCCCATTCTCTGAAATCGTGGGCAGTACTTTGGACTACTACCTTTGGTAAGGGCTGCTCAGTTCTGGGGCACGGCATGCAGCGAATCAGTAAATTAGCTTAGCGTACATGCAAATAAATAAAATAACAGGGAGCAGCTCTGGCAAGCATGTTGCAAAGACATCCAAGCAATTCTCGTGCAGCCAGCACAGGTCTGGCAGACTCAGAAGGAGATAGAGATAATAAAACCTGGAGAACCCAAGCTGTGCTGGCATCTGTGGTGCAATTAATCTGTGACATGAACAATCTGCCCCCAGATAACTGGAGGCTGACTATATGTACAAATTTAACAACTCACATTAATTAACACTTGATTAGATAGATTGAAAAAGTATCATTAATATTTGGCAACAAATAGCAAATACCATTACAACTCATAAGCATGAATGTTATACATCAGTAATTATGAGACACAGCGAAGTCATGATACTGTACAAATGAATTTTGATTTTGTAATTTAATTTTGATCTCCCTATTATTATCATCTCTAAGATAGACAATTAACATAAATTATGTTACCATAGCACACTGGAGTCCTGCTCACAGGCACTATTGCCATGAGTAATACACAAACAGATGACAAAAGGTAATGCCATGAAGTGTTAACACAGACCTATGAAACAAAAGATTATAGAGTATGAAGAGGTGACAAGAATGGTCAACATGCCAAGAAGAGATCTTTGCATACTAGTAGCTTAGCTACTGTCAGCTTTTATAGACATCACAGTAAAATAGCCTATTAGGGAGGGAAGGCTTTGCGTGACGGTAACAAGACTGCTTTTTATTAAGAAATTAATTGTAGTTTCTCTACCATATTACCAGTGTTTCTGCCACCCACGTCAGTTCAAACCAAGAACAATTGTGTCAGGACAACAAAAACTTCTGCTTCTCCTTTTGCTCTGAAGTCTGCAATCCACGTGGCATAGTTTCAGCAGTCTTTCTTCCTAAATCCTAATGTTAGGGAAAGTAAGTGACTTAAGAGGGGGACACACTTGCTACCTGTGGCAAAGACAAAATGTTACTGGCAACAGCATCTAGACAATTTCTTGTCTTCCCTCCTCTGAGAAAAGTGCTATGTTCTGGCAAGAAAAGGCAGAAAGTTGAAAAAATCTCCTATGCAGTTGCTCAAACCCAGATGTTAGGCAAATGTAGAAGTTAGTATATGTTTATCCATGTGCTTGATATTTGTAGCTGGTGCCTTTTTAAGACATCTCTAGCCTTAGCTACCGTCTTGCAACTTTCATAAAATTCATGAGCCCTGACAGTGTTTCAGGTACATTAGCTGCGAGGCCTGGAGCACAGCCCCGTTCTAGGAGTACCACTGGCTATGTTAGAGTTTAGCTGGCTGAATCAAAGGTCAGCTGCACTGCTGCTAAGACCTGTTGTGAAGAAAGCTAGAAATGAGAGCCTCCTTCTCCCTTCCCTTGGGAACTGCTTTTAAGCTGAGGCTGTACCACTGATCCTCACAGCAGCTACATCTACAGCTGGTCTCCTATTTCCTCTATCCTGACTCAGATCCTGACTCAGACTTCCTGAGTCAGGATAGACTGGGCTGGGCTTCCTGGATTGCTCTTGGACCTTCCTCATCACTGCAGACTTGCTGTGCAATCAATGAACTATGTCTCATCACTGTCACTTCTCAAGACTTCTCAAGAACCAAACGTGCTTCTCCACACCCTGCTGCTTTTTGGTGAGGTCTTAGCTCCCACCTGCCTTGGCATCATGCTCCACCTATGGCTCACCTTCCCTTGCTAAGCAAATGGCCCTCACACCCCCTGACATTGCCACACTAAAACCACTACCACTCTGCCATGCATAAAATTTTGTCACATGGAACTTTTAATGTGCAGAACAACTCTGCTCACTGTCCACAATAAAAGAAGCATAAGCCACATGAGGTAGCAGAGATAGAGATTCATCTCTCACAGCTCAGCTACCTATCACAGCCATACAGCTGCTCCACACACCTTTGTTTCACACTAAATTAATTTCTGCTCTTCAAGGTTGTGTAAAGGTTTGTAAAGCCAGCACGGCCAGCCATCAGGGCAGCTCTGGCTTAGGGGAAGTCTTTACAGAATGCAGAACCAGAATGGAATGTCTTCCTTTGTATAAGGCTCATTAGAACTGCTGTCACACTTCAGCATTCTTGGCTGCTAGACTGGCTCTGCAGGTTGGAGAGAGAGAGCCAAGCATACAGATGGTCAGCATGCACATACTATGAGTATTGCTAGTTTGCAAGGCCTATACATGAACTAGAATTCTGTTGAATTAGGTTCAATATATGCTGTGTATAAACAGAATACAGATGCATAAATATTTAAATATAAAACAGGAGATGACAGACACACAGATGGAGGAGAATGATTTTGAGGAGCATGATAGGCAGAAGTCTCGGTACATCAGGAAACTTGCCATTATCCAGTTTCATCACAACAAGAGATAATCATTAGGTAGGGTTTGAAGTAGAAAGATACAGATTAAAGTAGATAAACTTCTGTGGATACTTAGGAGACCAGGGGTAAAACTGAAGGAAACAAAGAAAGCAAATAAGAATCATAGAATCCTCAAGATTGGAAGAGACCTTTAAGATCATCAAGTCCAACCACCAACACAGCATTGCCACTGTAAACCCTAAACCACTAAACCATATCACCAGGTTCAGATGCCTCTTAAACACCTCCAGGGATAGTGACTCAACCACCTCCCTGGGCAAAGAGGACAATGAAAGAAAGTGAGATGCTTTTCTGAAAGTTCAACTAGTGGCTGTAAAAGCTTGTATTCAACTGATGAGAGACGGGACCCAACTACTTGGTACAAAAGATAGATGTGGTAAAGGGATAGGCTGTAAAAGCTACTTGCCAAGGCCAAAGATAACAACTTTCTGAGAGTTAGGATGAAAGATGAAAACATAGAGAAGTGGTGTGGGTGGATAGGGAGGACCATATAATAGAGATCTGATGCAGAGAGAATCCTAATGGCTTACAGCTGGACTTCAATAGTGATGAACCAGTGTCTGCTTTAAAAAAAGGGATCATCTTACCAGTTTTACACTAGCTATATGCCCAATAGAAAAACCTGTTAATAATTTTTCTTTCATTTCTGCCTTTAAAAACTAAATACTATTTGACTATTCCAAAATTACACAGTTTTGCAAGACTAAGCATCAAGCAAGTCATTAGCATCATCTGATGTGATTGAATTGCTCAGAATCCAGAGGTTATCTGTGAAAGAAATTTTGCCTAATACAGGCATGTATTCACTGGCACAAGAAAACAGCACTGAGGAATGTAGGAAGGAGTGGATGTCAGAGGTATGTATGCATTAATAGAGTGGTCCTGTTTTCACCTTTTGCTGCTAATGCAAGTATTAAATTGCTTTTGTTGCATTCTTTGTCACTATGGTTATCTATTGCTTCTCCCTCTTCAGTTTACTCCTTTCTATCCTCAGCCCTACCATTCACTCACCAAACTACCCAGACTGTACTTCCACACCTAACCCAGTCAGTCTCCTCTGTCCTGAGATCTCTCAATAGAGAAGAATCTTCCTTGCCTAACTTATTTTTCTAGAAACATCTTCTTGACCTTGCCTGCTTCCTTAGCTCAGATTCCCCTTCAATTGCCTCAAGCACTTCTAACACCTAATTGTTTCTTGTTGTCTACATGGCAGTGTGGTTCCTAAATCGCTATGCATCCTCAGTTTTCTCTTGCTCTCTTTCTGTTGTTGGTCACTTTCCAAAATTTTCCAGAGATAATTTCTGAAACCTTGACATGCCTTCTACAGAGTACTGTAGGAAACAACACGGTCACTCACTGTCTTAATGCACTGCAAAACTTTACATGTCTGTCTTTGAGAATATGTAGAGTGTCTCCTAAGGTATTCAAAATGTAGGAGCTGGTGTGATTGACTATCTTATCAAACAATAGTTACATTGCTTTTTGAAATGTCATAAAATGTCAGAGTACAGTCTTAGGATGTACATTTGTGGGTTTTAGTTATGTTCACAGTGGTAGGAAGAATAACCTAAATGCAAAAGGAGAACACAAATAATTTGATAGGTTGCTTTACAGGTGTTTTTATGATAACTCTAGTGGAAGTCTGTGCTATTTAATGAGATACTTTCATTTTCTGTTTTTTTTCCTTTGATCTTTATAGCTATCTCCAAAAGGATGTTTTTGAATACAGAAAGCAATATGCAGCACTGCTAAGATCCTGATGACAATACACCAAGAACAAGAATGGGAGTCAATTTATTCAGCAATTCTACTGTTGTAAACAGTTCATCAATCAACCATAAGCAGTTAGAGGGGCATAGCCTCTGGGAAGTCATTACTATTGCCACTGTAACTGCAATTGTAAGCTTAATAACCATAGTGGGAAATATTCTTGTAATGATATCCTTTAAGGTTAACAGTCAGCTCAAAACTGTCAACAATTATTACTTGCTGAGCCTTGCCTGTGCAGATCTCATCATTGGGATATTTTCTATGAACCTTTATACGTCCTATATACTCATAGGCCATTGGTCTCTTGGAAGCCTTGCCTGTGACCTGTGGCTAGCACTGGACTATGTAGCTAGCAATGCCTCAGTAATGAACCTTCTAGTCATCAGTTTTGACAGATATTTTTCCATCACAAGGCCTTTAACTTACAGGGCCAAACGCACACCCAAAAGAGCTGGCATCATGATTGGTCTGGCTTGGCTAATTTCCTTTGTGTTGTGGGCACCTGTAATCTTGTGCTGGCAGTATTTTGTTGGTGAACGAACAGTACCACCTGAAGAGTGCCAGATACAGTTTCTAGATGAACCCATTGTCACCTTTGGTACTGCAATTGCTGCTTTTTACATTCCTGTGTCTGTGATGACCATTCTGTATTGCCGCATCTATAAAGAGACAGAGAAACGTACCAAGGACCTTGCTGAACTGCAGGGTTCAGAGTCTGTGGCAGAGTTTGAGACAGTAAAGCCCCAGAAAGCTCTCCTGAAGTCTTGCTTCAGTTGCAAGCAACAAAACTTAGTCAAAAGAGAGAGGTGTCAGGCTTCTTGGTCTTCATCTAGTCGAAGTACGTCAGCCACGGTGAAAGCCTCTCAGGCAGCGAGTACTTGTATCGACTGGGCCAAGGCTGACCAGTTAACCACCTGCAGCAGCTACACGTCATCAGAAGAGGAGGATAAACTTGCTGCTGACTCAGTTTTCCAAGTAACTTACGGAAGTCCATCTAATAGTAAGGCAGAAGAGTTTCATGAGAGTACAGATGTTGTTGTCAAAGACCAACCTGAAGAAAATGATTTTGAGAACCAGAAATACTTTTTGTCACCTGCCAAAGACCACATACAGAAAAGTAAAAAATGTGTAGCCTATAAATTCCGATTGGTGGTTAAGACTGATGGCACCCAGGAAGCCAACAATGGTTGCCAAAAAGTAAAAATAACTCCTTGTTCTGCTGCTCTGTCAAAGGATCCTTCCATCAAAAGCATGGATCCGAATATAAATAACCAAATCACCAAAAGGAAACGGATGGTTCTTATAAAGGAGCGCAAAGCAGCACAGACTTTAAGTGCCATTCTTTTGGCTTTTATCATGACATGGACTCCCTATAATATCATGGTTTTGATCTCCACATTTTGCCCTGAATGCATTCCAGTAACACTGTGGCACCTTGGATATTGGCTATGCTATGTGAACAGCACTGTTAACCCCATGTGTTATGCCCTCTGTAATAAAACTTTCAGAAAGACTTTTAAGATGCTGCTTTTCTGCCAGTGGAAAAAGAAAAAAGTGGAAGAGAAACTATACTGGCACGGCAATACCAGACTGCCATAATTGCTTTTGAATAAGGAATAAGGGGAAATATATATATTGATGTAACCTAGCAAATTGACTGTAATTCTGTCTTTTCAAAGCTGATGCTTTATGTGTCTAGTGGTTAAAAAAAAATCTGCTGATAAGTTAAATTTTGCATGAAAATAGTGCGTGCTTGGGATAAAAAGTCAGTGGCTGCTATGAACGACACAGTTTGTTTTCGACTATGCAGTAGATCTGCATTAAAGTTACTATGTTTGGGGTCTTACGTCCTTTCTTTCAGCCTAAGAATATGTAGAGTAAATTGTGAACTACTAGAAATTAGACTGGGATGATCATCCAATTATCAGGTTAGGTCATCCAGTCTTTCTCCCTGTAATTCCCTGTCTTTCTATAATTCCTTGCTAGTGTATTGTCTGTTGAGTTTTCAATGTACCAAGCAATGGAGCTTGTACTACTTTTGTTTTGAGACTTTTCCACCTGCTGTTAAAATGCAACAAGGAATATGTAAAGGGATAAATGCTGTCATGCCCAATACTAAATGGTTAGGGAGATTAATAATACTCAAAATGAACACACATATTGCAGGAGATTGTAATACTGATAAAATTTCCACTTTAAGGAGGACTTTTATGGAGACATTGGAAGGGCTCATAGTGAAGGGAATAGATAATGTATTTTGTATATGAAGAAGCCAGTCCCGATCTCAGTCCCAATCCATCATACAAGTGACTGTCATCTGCAAAAATGGTGTTGATTAGCAGATATCTCTAAATTTCTCCAGTTCCCAGTACCTCTGAAGGAAATTTTAAAATTGTATGCAATACTGACAATGGTACAAAACAGAACTGACTGTAAAGCGTAATGGATACAGTCTACCTACAACACAAGGAAAGTCTTTTTCCAAATCACCTTTGTTGTGCTTCCCCTGAGCCCAGAATTTTCCGTTACTGATGGAATGATGCAGAACACGAGAAGAATAAGGATTGGTGCACTGTACATTTACCTATATATAAACAGCGACAGAATTGGCATCCCTGAAAGATTTTTTAAAGTAACTTTTGAATATTTCTATAAAACTATTAAGGACACTTTACATTTTTTGTCTTTGAATAGCTTTACAAATACTAGTCAGTATCAGGTGTTTGGAAACACAAGTTACCTTCAAGTACTGTCTTTTGGTCCAGCAGAACCATTTCTGCTACCGTACCAGGGGCTGGAATATAAAAATATATTCTCTAAATTCACAATTGATTTTGTAATGCACCATACCGTGCCTATTATTTTTTGTGCATTAGCATATGATTACTTAATAAAGGAAAGCAGAGGTTTTTATAAAGACCCTTTTATCAACTTTGCTCTGTCACTATCCAGAGCCTTTCCTGTGTACAGTAACTATGTACACATTGGTTATTATAGTGGGTTTATTTTATATTACATTGGATCAGACATTCAGTAAACTATGCTTGATTTTTAGCAAATGAATGTGCCCCTCTGGGGCAAAAGCTGTAGTTAATGGCAAAATTTATGAGGTAGTAACAGTTCCTGCTAGCTGCACTGTTATTGCTAAAATGAAGCACTGGCTTCTACTGAAATTAAATGGGATATTTTTTGTTGGTTTCGATTTCTGTTGAAGAATGTTCTGTAAGTGTTTATGGACTCTGTGCTCAGCTACGGTATTAGAATACATGGTGATGGATGCAACAATGTTGATTTATTATAATTGTGAAATATGTGCTCAAATTATGCTGCTAGCACTTAATCATGTGAGAGATTACATGGCCAAACATGAGTACATTGTAAATATCAAGAATTATATAAAGAGGTATGTGTTGCTTTATTGTTATGTAGGATATTTTTTCTTAAAAAAGAAATCAGAATCACAAAAGGACAAATGTGGTTGTCATCAGAGTATCACTTAGTACTAACTTATATTTTGTACCTTTGAAAAGTGTTGTGGGACTTTTGCAGTGTAGGACAATCTTGTTGTCTGTATTTCTGTAGTTATAATGACATTTTTACTGATCCTATAATTGGTTATGGTCATGGACTAGTGAAATGTTTTTTGAAAAATTACATTTTATTTATACATAATTACATACACATACATATATGTACATATATATGTATACATTATCAATAGAGATGCATAAATATACATCCCTAACTAAACTTTTCAGAGACCCAGCAGCTTTTATATTTTTGGGTATTGAATTTTCCCACAGAACTGGGGTAGGATTTTTGCCTCTACCTTTTCATATATGCCAGACTCCCTGTATGTTCCAGATCCCCATAAATTATCAACTAACATTAATTTTCTGTAAATATTATTTATGTTTGTAGATAAATACTTGGAATAGTTCCCAGAATTTTTGAACAGGTATAGAACACCTGGATACTGTCGTGCACTTTCTGTGACTACTTAGAGTGAAGAGCTTTGCAAAGGACAGAAAGTCATGATAGACCATAAATGCAAGGGTTTCCTTTATAGAAAAAATCTTGTTGAATTGCAAAGTAATGAAATCAAAAGACTTACAGAGAAAATAGTCTAAGAATCTGTAAAATGTGATAGAGAATATTTTTCCATTAATTATACAATTCAGTTGCCAATAATGCTTATCCTACTCAACTATTCATGTCAATTATTAACTGCTATTAACTGTTGAAAATTATTTTTATATGTGGATTTTTGTTCCTCATCTCATTCCCTGCACTGGGAAATATGGACTTGAGGAGTCTAGATCCAGAGGCCGTGATGGACTTCAAGGCAAAATACTTCACTGTACTTTCTCATCACACTTTGGATGTTGTTCCAGTTTCAGAGCTGAGTCTCATAAAAAGTCCCCATCTCTAATTCTGATCATTCTATCTGGCACATAGGGCTTTTTCTCAGTGATCTGTGACATTGCCTCCTTGTCAGATTTGATAGATGACCTGAACATGTCAAATTAATGTCACTGATAAATCTTAATGCAGATGCAGTTAAGGATAGTCACATCCTTGAAGGAATAAAAATCTCACTGAGGTGTGGTAAGCATGTTAAATTTAACTGAGAAGTCATTACAACAAATAAAGAATCCCATATCGATTTGGAAGGTGCTGTTTTCTCTTAGAATGTAGTTATTATGGAACTGGATACCCAGTTTAAAACTGAACTTAATAGTTGTGGACTTTGTTCAGATTCTGAATTTTGAATAGGATTTTGTAAGATGCTTCTTTACTTGTGGTAGGAAGCAGTTTCCAAATCGCCCATTCATAGTTTTGGATTCCCCAAATCTTCATATTGAAAGAGAATTTTTGGATGCTTCCTTTTTAAAGTTACTCTGTAATTTTTAGGGGACCTAATTACTGCTGCCTTCCCTGGATTCTTTGCTCTAGGAAAACAAACAAACAGACAGAATGATTTAGCTTCTCTCTGAAATTCATTTTCTTTCTTTTCTATACAGATAGAAATAATATGAAGAATATGAATATGTTTCTTACTTAGGCTTAGTGAGAAACAAAAACCTGTTTCCTCAGATATGCCTAACAATCAAGCTGGAGTTACTACAGTCAGTTTGCTGTGAAGTGTACATCTAGGTGCCCCTCTGTTGGAAAGAACTCTGCCCAAAAAACTCCAAACTGCTTCCTTCTTTTTGATATTACAGAAAGTTTAAAAAAACTCAAACAAACAAAAACCCCACAAGAATGGCCCACGTTCACTACTTTTATGAGCTACAGACCAGGGTCAGAACTTTCCTGTGAAGTGCCCACAGTGTTTGCCTTGGGGACTCCAAGGCCTCCTTCAGTTCCTGTAATGCTCCTGCAGCTGCTGGGTAATCAGTGGCTTTTCTGTTTTGAAATAGCCTGCTAAATCTTAACTCCAGAAATGGATATTGTGTCTTTTCACTTAACTACTTGGCTTTCCCTCTACCAAATCAGAAAGAGGCCAGTTATTTCATACATGGTCATCCCAAGTCTCCGTTGCTGCCTTTTGAACCCACTAAGAAATTTTCTTCCACATACAATTAACAGTTGTGTCATAATGCCTTAAACTTTGACCATTCAAATAAGCATCTTGTTTATGATTTTATTAATAGTGTTGCCATAACTGTAACTAGTTTAAAAAAATTTATAACATTGTGTTGTAAAACATGAGATAATCTGTGACTATTAGTGGTTTCAGAAAGGGATGGTGTTGCAATTGTTCTTCCTACCTTGGTAGCTGTATTTCTTCAGAATTAAGGAATTTCAGTTTTCATTACACTCAGTAAAAGTGCTGCTTTTTACTCAATACTTTTGCCGTTAGCCACTAAATGCCATTCACATCTATGTGTATCTGCTGATATATCAGTCAGTCTTCCTCAAAAAAAACCCAAATCTTTGAAGTCCTTCAAAAGTTTTCTTCTCAACAGGTACTTCTCCAAACCCGGGTTGCTGATGGCTCCTGTTTCAGTAGACATTTTAAGTTTGGGGGTTATATAGAATCCCTGGATTGCAATGCCAAGATATAAACTGTAATATCTTTTACTACTTACATGGTGCAGCTACCTAGACATAGTGGAAGTCAGACAGTTGGTTTTACTGTATGCCTCCTTAGGCCTCCTTAGGTGTGCAATTCTTCAGCTATGGGAGGAAGAGTGGAGAGAGGGTGCAGAGGAGGATACCAGCTGCGGAGCACAGCTGCACTTAACTCTGCCTGGGCCCTGATGCCTTCTGAAGTGATGATGTTAGAGTGACTAAAGGACTCCTTGTTAATTCTAGGAAATAAAAACGAGGTGGGACAGCTAATGTTGTTAATGTATTGATGCACAGGATTTTCGGTCCTAAAACCACTTTGTCATACTTTTAAACCTATGGTTAACACATAAAAAAAGTTACATGAAAGGCCAAGAAATCAGAAACAAGAGCAAGCATTTTCTCATATGAAAATTGAATGATTTTTAAAGACAAAAATAAATAAATTCTGAGTTAATTAATGTGGTATCGATATGTGAGAATGTGCTTGCCTTTCCTGCAGTTGAGAAAACAGGGATAGGGAGAAATGCAAAGTAGCAAAGAGGTGAAGAAAAGTATTTCATTGCTATTGTTAGGAGATTGCTTGTTAAAAAAGGAACTTCTCCCATTCACAGGTGCTTAGAGCTGAAACGTATTACTCTAGACCTTGTCATTTTGGAAAGATATTTATTTGACCAAATAGACTTGTTTCAGCAGATACTTGCAAGAAGACTCTCCTCCTTTCTTATACTGCAGGCGACATTATAGTCAGGAAAGGCTAAGAGAGAGAGAGCATAGGAGAAATGTGATGGGCAAAAGAAAACAGGAGTAGACAGAATGGAAACCCCCATGCTTCAGTCTGAGATTTCACTGACTCAGTGTTGAAGGCCAGCTGCCTTCTGGATTGCCTTTCTGCAATTTGGTGATTAAGGTTCAGCAATGGAAGAAAAAAAGTCTGTTAAGACAGTCTTTTGCTAGGGGATTATGAAGTAGAATTTAGTCCACTTTTAACGATTCCATGGCGGTGGATGTTTTGGAATATTCTTACTTAGTCCCAAATTCAGCTCCAATAGTAATATCCATCCATAGTTTGTTTAGAAGTGTGGAATGTACCTCAGTCCCTGAGTTCCATTAAATGTCTTTGTTTGAACTGAATTGATATTTCTGTCTTTTTTTTTTGTCTTGCTTTAGACTTCTTATGAGTTTTTATTGCATTTTTATCTAATTCCTTTACTAGAATTCAATATCAGCATAGGTTTGTAGGGCTCTAGTTAATACTAGAGTTCCTCCAGAACTGGGCAGCTGGATTTGGGCTACCAGTGCCCAACTCATTTATACAACTTATTTGCAGAGTCCTTTCTTTCAAAACTCTCCAAAACAGACCAAGGATGGGCTGCAGAGCAGGTTACTTGCCTTTGATGATCAGATGCAGCCTGTGGACTTTCTGTTATGTGCTTTGATGTCAAGGTTACTCAAAACATATTTTTGGAAGGTGTATGAGAATCTGGCTATATAGCCAGGAATTCAAATAAAAGCTATGGGAGACTGGCAGCACTTAGGTGATTTTCTTGTATCCTCATTACAACTTTGGAGGTATCCTGATAGAGTTACAGCAGAACCCACATTAAATTGACTCAATGATATAAACTCAATTCAGGTATTAGCTGTCTCCTCCTGTATCACGCTTCTGTCTTTGAACACAAATTCAGGGGCAAAAAAAATCAAATGCTGCAAAATTGGCATGTGTGCTGGGTTGGCCTCACCCACGCAACATAGCTGTATCTCTTTCTGAAAATGTTGCAGTGCATCATGAAAAAATAAATATTACTTTTTTGGCTTTTCTGCTTCCCAGTTAATTTATCTTCTTAAATAATCCTGATAGTCTTGGTCTTCTCAAAACACAATATGATTTATTTTCTGTGAAGCAATTTTTGTGAAAATGATGATATTTTATCATATTTTAAATTAAAAAGCAGGAATTTGCCAGTATTTGTTTGTTGAGTTTCTGTAACTGAAATATCTAAGAAAATATACATGATAATCTAATGATTATCCTGACACTTTGTATAATGCAACAATAAAACCTCCTCATTTATCATTCAGCTATTCCAATGGTATAGAAATGTGTGAATGAACTCAAACAAAGGTAAAAGAAAACAAGGTCTTCGAGGTTATCAAAGCTAAAATTCTTTTATTTATTATTTTAAAACAGAAGAATATATAATTTTTATTTTATTTTATAATTAGAAAAATTAGAAATAATGTTAGGTCTGAGTACCAAAACAACTGAAGCTAGCAAATGTGAAATAAAGGCAATGCTGTCTTTTTTTCTCACAGTGGTATTAAAAAAAGAAAAAGCTGAAGCACATCATGGAACAGGGAGAAGCAACAGTCAAATCATGGTAAACAAAGTGAAGTGATATTCAGGAAAAAATGAAGCAATAAATAAACAGTTGCAAAATCAATTTGATCTTTTAAAAAAAGTGTTGTCTGAGTTTCTTGGGGAAATATTCAGATGGGTTATAAGCTTTTGATTAGTAGCTTTAAATGGCAAAGCTGACAATCCCATTAGTGCTGGGTGCTCTAAATTGAAGGAAGAAAAGAAAAGCCTATACTGAATATTTCAATGTGTATGGGATCATTAAAAAGTAGAGATAAAAGAAGAGTCAGTGAATGGGGAAAGAAGCCATGGGAGATAAGGCAAATTCCAATTTTATAAATCAAAATCACTAAATTTAGAAAGAAAAGGCCTGTTGCTGCCCTATGGTACACAATACTCTTCAATATGCATTTTGTAAATGTAGGCACTTCACTGGAAATTTCTCTCATGCATGATATATGAAGATGTGCAATTATAGGAGATCAATCATGAACATTGATACTGGAACAAAACCTTCCAAAATGCATTTATATTCATGTATATATTGTATAAGACATCATATCCTGGATTTCATACCTGGCTTGTCTTATGGCTAAAATACTATAAAATGAATTTTTTAAATTTTCTGTTTATTTAAATCTTGTGGTAGAGGCCTCCGTTTCTGACAGTTTCTCACTTGTGTGGTTGGCATATTTCTATGACATGGTCCAGTCCTGGAAGATATGTTATCATAAATCCCTTGCAGAGGCCCAATTTAAATTTTCAACCATGTTTACTTAGTGTGATTATTCAGTCAGTGAGTTCACTTCAGTCACTGGACAAAAAGTCCATGTTCCTTTCAAAGTACACATGGCTTATCTACAGTTCAATTTTCTGACACGGGCAGGACTTTGATGGAGATGACAGGTGGTGCTCAATGGGTTTGATCATCATCCATGCAAACTTGCATAGGCGTTGCTTGTTGCAGTCTTTTTGCCAGTATATCATGTTCCTACGGTTTAGATTTGCTCCAGCACACGCGTCGTACCACCAGCCTCCCCCAGGAATGTCATTGAGTTCCAGTTTAGCACAATTCAGAAAGTAATTGTCATTGTCTCTGTCCTTGGTGGTGAACTTCTGGTTGTCATGGAGATAGGCTTCTGTGTCCAGGGTCAGCGCATCAGTGGCATTACCGTTGTATAGACCAACCCTAATGCGGTATTGAGATTCCTCACCTTCAATAAGGAATGGTTCATACTGTCCCCATTTAATTTCAGCATTTAGGTTTACAAGTTTAACTCCAAGTATATATTGCACAGAGCTGCTAGTTAACTGATGCATATATTCATTTCCTAACCAGTGGTTCTCATGAACAGAGCCAAATCCATATTTGTAGTCCTGCCAGGTCCTGTCAAAGTCGACAGTACTGTTGGCAGTAATGTGCTGGATTATTGTCCAGCCACCATCCTGCATGTTACAAGAGACAACAATAGGGTCCTCTTTTGGTTGGATGATGTAAAGACCATCTCTGGAATTTCCTTTGGAGCGCTGAAAAATCTCAAAACAATCTCTTGGATAGTCTGAGAAAAAAAAATAATTAAAGTAAATTTCTGCTCAAATAATGAATTTTAGAATTTGAACTCTGTCCTTTAGAGTGAGTGAATGATTGTCTTCTGATTGGAAGCTGACTCTGACTTCATCCCAGATGGTTGGCACTCACTCAGCTAAAGAGGGAAGACTTCAGGACAGAAGATGCAGCAAATGTTCAGAAACTCAAAAAAAGGTTTGTTACCCTGTGATACAACAGAAGTGGTATTGTATGGTCTCATGACCAACAGATCAAAAGTACAGTAAACAGTTTGGTTAGTGTAAAAAGCAAACAAACAAAAATGACAACAAAAAAAAGTGCCCTCAACTTTCTGGAAAGAGAAGGGGACCATGATTGACTATTTTATCTACTACTGGTGCTGTAGGGAATTATATCATACAGTCTTCTCACAAAATAATTAAATTTCTTCTCTTCCAACTGAAAGGCACTGTAGACTTCACGAACTGTCACTACTTCACTACTCTGATAGAAATCCTCATCTGGTTCCCAATCTAATTTTAATGACTTCCACTGTCCATCTTCATTTCTTGTGCCATAGTAATCTTTAGTTAAATAAGTGCTTCTTCCTGTGTAATAAGCCCCCATATACCATGACAAAACCTATATTTTTAATAAGTCTTTGTTTTGTTAGGGTAAGTTGTTACGGTAAATAATTTCTTTTATTATTTCATGTAAGATAAATCTTCAGTTCCTTATTTGTCTTAGTAGCTTTTCTGCATCTCTTCACTGCATAATCTCCTAGAATGTGGGTATAATTTGTACACAGTATTGCAGATGGCCTTATACGGTGACACTGATTCTTTCAAAATCTTACTAAAACATCTTTGTTGGTATTTTCTAGGATTGCATTTGTATTGCTTAGTTTCCTTTAAGCTGGTTCTTTGAAACTGGTAAGGTCCTCACCTTGCAGTAAAACCACCTTGCAGTATAACCTAAAATTTTGTACTTTATTTTTCGTCTCAGTGGTATTACTTAAGAACATCTGTGGGGCTTTCTACATAATATTCCTGCTTTTTGTATTTGCATTTCTCTCCTTCATGGTATCATTAAATTCTATTATCATATTCCTATTTCTGCATTGGTATACTCCATAAGAATATTGAAAAGATAACTAATAAGCAAATACTTCCGGTCTCACCTTGACTTTATGGCTTACTTTTCTACCCAACTCATTTTCATTTTCTTGTCAATCTCAATGTAACTAATCCATCTCTGATTTAATATTGTATTGTATCATAGGTTTTGTAGATATCCAGATGGACTAAACTTGTTAAATAATTATTCAATATAGTCTTTTATATTTGATATTTGGAAGTTAATTGATATTTCTAAGCCACTCAAGACAGATTTACAGGAGCATATAGGCTTTCTGAGGTCTTAAGTTTTCTGCCTTTCATTTCCTAGTAGAATCTACAGCCATGAATAGAATAAACTTAAATCTCAATACTATCTGCATTACATTATTAAATATCCTGAAAGAGCAGACCTGTGTACACAACTCTGTACCCTGGTTGTTAGAACATTTGCCTGGCAGACATTGCCTGCCTGCCTCCAAACCTGATCCCATGATTTTATAGAAGGATTATTAAAGTTATGTATATAGTTATGTCCAAGTCAGTGATATACACAGTGACACTTGTATTTACCCCCTCAGTGAAAATTATAGAACAATTTCTATCGACAGATAATGAGAAAAATTTTTAGGCTGATTGTTATAGACAATAAGATTAATTTGGAAAGTAAATTTTATAAACCCCAAAGTGCCATTAGTCTGGGGATGAAAATGAATCAATCCCACTACTCTTTGTGTACATTTTATGTGGGATCTACTCTGGTAAATGTATTAAAAGTGTACCAAGCTGGATTTTGAAAGCTAGATAGGCAGAGGGTTGCCTCAATTATAGGTACCAATGGGATCTAGGTATCAAGATGTAAGATGTAATCTAGGTATGATTGTTCTAACAATAAGTCTTCAAATGTCACAGAATTTTATTTAAAAATATGACAAACAAACAAACAAAACCAAACAAGCCCCCCAAACAAAATGGCAACAAAACAAACCACAAAAAACCAACAATGTGTTGATTTCTCTTGAATTAGATGGCTGCAAAGTAAGGTTTTTAAAGATTTGGGACTTTGTGGCAGTACATGTTCATGTTGCAAACTATTTTTTCAGGGCTAACTTTCAAATATGTGAGTTGAAAATGTTACAACAAAGCAATAAAGTAAAACACAGCGCGCATCTAAATCTCTCACTGTCTTTGTGAGTACCTTTTTCATTGGCATTACCCAGCCTCTCAGAGTCTCTCTGGGGGAGAAGGTGGGCATTAGCCAGGATCACTGCCTCTTTGGTGCTCAGTGACACAGTGCATTGAGAGAGCAAGAACAGCATAAATCCTGCTGAGCTTGTCAACAACATCTTCCTTCTGAGTCAGTTCTCCTGCAGAAATACAGAACTGTAACACAGATTAGAGCTGAAAATGGAAATATTTAGGACTTTTACTGTGGAAGTCCTGAAGGAGAAAGGCTTTGAAATACCTAGCTTCAACATAGTAGGCCTCTGTCAAAATTGGCTTCTTCCGTCTTTGAGGTACCTCTCCTTTCCAGGTGTCTCACACCCCATTTCTGACTAGTCATTCCCGTGACACAGAGAACTGTGCTGCGACACCTAGAACATCTCTCACCTCTGCCACCTTGTGCCATGCTGGGCAATGAAAAAAGCCATTGAGAGTAATGTAATGACAAAAGAAAAAGCACGTCTTATATTTATCAGAGCTGAATTTGTCTTATTCCCTGAGTCCAAACTACAGTTAAGGAGAGACACCAATGGTTGAATTGGCAGAAACAGTAACATTATCTCTGCTGACTGTCTGTAGCTCAAACAGTACTCAAAGACATGGTTTTCCTAATGCTGGGAATGTTTCCATGCACAGGAAAACTAACTTAAGCACATCTGAACTATGCTTTTTGTGAATTTCTATCTACAGGTTTAAATAATAGGTCACAGGTTTAAATCAGATTAAAAATCCAAAAGTTCAATAAACAAATCAAAAAGAACTTTCTTTAGCCTCTCAAAACCCAGAGTGCAATATAATTAATTAAAACAGCTTTGAGCCTCATTTTATCCACCTTTTGGGGTACAGAACTTGTAACCCTCCATCTGATACAGCAAGAAGGCTTAGGCTATTACTAGACTAAATCCTACGGTCCTCACTTAGGCAAATTCCAGATTCTCTGAAGAGGAGTTTCTGTATCAATGACAGTTTAGACTGAATCAGGATAACAAATGTTTCCTATATTCTCAAAGGACAAATTTACTTAGTCTCTAGCTGAACCTTTTTAACTCTTTAATTTTTTTTTAATTTAATTTTTAAGGACTGGGCTCCCTACAGTGACTTTGATGAAGGCAGAAAATAGATCCAACAAACAGCTCTTCAGTCAGAGCTTATTTCCCACCAGCGTTAGCACACAGTCTGCAGAGGCCAGTATCCTCCACAGTGGCTTATGTTGCAACAAGATCACATTCCTTATAAATCTAATGACTTAGTAGCAGATTCAGCAAACAGTTTTCCAGAGTGAAAAAACATTCAGCACATTTTTAAAAAAAATGTTCAAGATAAATCAACATAATAAAGTTCAGGTTTGAGACTTAAGTTTTATACCTACCATAGAAAACACCAGCAAAACAGAATTTTCTACTCTACCTAAAACTATTCAGTAATAACTATGATTTACTATTAGCATATAATTTGCTATTTTATGCAAAGTTGGTCATTTGACATTAGGATCATAATAAATTGGAAAATTACCTTCCATGAAATTTGGCACAGTGCTTCCCTTAAAGCATTTAAGTTTGCTGTGCCTGTATTTCCTACTGTCATGTATCATTTTCCCTGAAAGCTTCTATTATTATTGCTATTGCTAACGATTAAATTTTAAATGACTTGAAATCAAAACCCCCAAGCATAATTAAACTTCATGAAATTTGACCTTCAACCTGGAGTTATTTTTTTAACTGTTTCATCTTTCTTTTAGCATTTTTGAATGAGTCAGTCTTTTCTTTTTTCATGCATATTTACACATTGAAGTTATTTACATATCTGTTTAATTCCAGAATAGAAGTTGATATTATAAATTATTAAGAAATCACCCAAAGAAAACAGCCCTGGGCATGCATCTTACCTCTTTGAAGTGAAGACAGGCAAGGAAGAACACAAGTAAATGAGCTCACTCTCTACAGTTGTACTTTGTCTGCTACTTAAGTCCAAGTGGATAAATCAGCTCCAACATGCTATCACAAATGCAGCAAAATTGCATATTCCTTATTTCACACTGTGCTTATTCTGCTGGACTTTGCTCCGACATATTACACTTGCAAGTATGTATGTATGAATTATAAAGTACAAAGTTCTTCCATAATGATTAAAATGACATAGTTACTAAATTATATTTCCTTGGTTAATCAACAGGCACAGTGATGGAGAACCATGAAGTTTCAGTTCAGTAAATTATTTATGTTGCTTAAATAGACACAGGCAGATGCTCATTTTGCACAGATGTCATTTTGCACAAATGAATTAACTAGAAGCTGTACTGCTAGCCACATTTAAATTGCACAGACACAACTTGATTTTTAATTATTTGGAACAATCCAACCATAAATTATGTTGTTACTTCATGTTTTAATGTGAATGAATCAGAAGCAGTGTCTCAGAGCTCTAAAAATAAAGAAAACAAAAGCAGAACAGGCTGGTCAACAGGTTTGTATTTGAGTTTATGTGGATTAACAAGAATTAATTAACATTAATTCAGGTCACAACTGTAATGAATTAATTGTTCCTATGGATCTGAAAGTTGTACTGTCTGTCTGCATGGCCTTTAGATGGTGTCTAATCTAGCATTTGCCCTTTAATGATGAACCAACGCTTAAGTTTTTGAGCTCCTTGATCCACTCTGGAACCCACTCTGATCAGATTCCATCCTTGAAACAAATCACAATTAAAATTGATGGAACATTTAAGTCCTGTGCAACCTCTACTTCAGGATTCATATAAAATCATAATTTCTTCTTCAATACTTCATCCTTAGTGAGGATCCCCATGTGAGGATTTGTATTTATGTACAAATAAATAAATACCCCTAGAAAATGTTTTAAGAAATATTTGCTTGTAACATTTAAAAATCAGTGATATTTTTCTTCACTTTTAAAGTACAAGCAATGCTTTATTATACAGGAGGATGGCCACAGAGAGTCATAACAGTATCTTCTCTCTGTCACTGGTCAGTAGCAGAGCTACTCTGCTTTTAGCATTATGAAGCTCAGGGAATTTCTCATATCTGTGTGTTTCATAATATGTTATTTATGGTTAGTACCAAGTTTTACAAGCCTTGCAAAGGCCTGAAAAGATCGTATGGTAGATTATGAAATAATAAAATTGCTTTGAACAGATAAAGATCTTCGTGAAATAGTATGCTAAGAAAAGGCAGAGGAGCCTTTCCACTCTGCCCATATTGATACACTCTAAAACACAACATTGACTCCAGTGTTGTTTATTGATAGGCCTCTTGTCACCCTGATTTAAATTGGGGTATATCTTTGTTTTGTGCCTTTTATGCCCATATATTCCATCACTGTTTATCTCCTCCTCCATCTTTCCATTTTTCTTTACCTTCCTGCAGTTTGCTTCTTTGTTGACTTCCAAACTTTCATCTGAGCTGGCAGAGCAGAAGTGAAGTGGGAAGTGTCTAATTAGGAGAGAGAGAAAAGGGCATCAGAATTCATTCACTTATGCTCAGAAAAAGCATCTATTTCTGTAGCTGAAAACTTTGAAAAAACAACTAAATCTTTACATATCTCTCTCTGCTCTTGATTCTGAGAATAATTTTTCGCCCTGAAAATTATATAATGATCTTAAGGTCAGACCACTTTACATTATTATGGCTTGGTCATATACAGATTTCAAAATAATGCATTGCTATGACTTATTTTTAGCCATGTTAATTAAAATAATTAGTTTCCTAGCCCAATGACCACATATTCCTTCTGTACAATATACTGAAGTTTTAATTATCCTTCTAATTCTGCTCAGCTTTAACTGGCAAACATTCATCTTCTATGTGGAAAGACTCTTTACAAGTTCTCTGTAATTCTATGGCCCATTGATCCAACCTTTTCAGATCCCTCTGCAGAGCCTTCCTGCCCACCAGCAGATCAACACTCCCACCCAACTTGATGTCATCTGCAGACTTACTGGGGGTGCACTCAACACCCTAGTTCAGATCATTGATAAAGACATTAAACAGGACTTGCCCTAAAACTGAGCCCTAGGGAACACCACTGGTGACCAGCCACCAAGTGGAGGTAGCGCCATTCACCACCACTGTCTGGGTCAGGTATCCAGCCAGCTTTTTACCCAGCAAAGACTACACCCATCCAAATCACGGGAATCCAGTTTCTCCAGGAGAATGCTGTGGGAAACTGTGTCAAAGGCTTTACTAGAGTCCATGTAGACAACACCTGCAGCCTTTCCCTGCTACACTTGAGTGGGTCACCTTTTCATGAAAGAAGATCAGGTTGGTTAAACTGGACCTGCATTTCACAACCCATGCTGTCTGGGCTTGATCCCCTGGTTGTCCTTTTGTGTGTTATGTGATGGCACTCAAAATGACCTTCTGTGCCACAACCTTCCCCAGCACCGAGGTCAGGCTGACAGGCCTGTAGATCCCTGGCTTCTCTTTCTGGTCTTTCCTGTAGATAGGTGTTGCATTTGACCTCCCTGGTTAGCCAGGACTGCTGGTAAATGACGGACAGTGACTCAGGGACCTCTTCAGCCAGCTCCTTCAGTACCCTCCTGTGAATCCCACCTGGCCCCATAGACTTGAGTTTATCTAAGTGGTATAGCAGGTCACTGAGCATTTGCTCTTGGATTATGGGGGCTTCATTCTGCTCCCTGTTCCTCTCTTCCAGCTCATAGGGCTGAGTACCCTGAAAACAACCGATCTTGCTATTAATTTGCCACTGAGGCAAAGAAGGCTTTAAGCACCTCAGTCTTTTCCTCATCCCTTGTTACTCTCTACCCCCACATCCAATAAAGGATGGGGATTATCCTCAGCCATTTTGCTGGTAATGTATTTACAGAAATATTTTATTTATTTATTTTATTACAGTCTTCTAGGGCACAAGTCAGTTTAAATTCTGGTTGGGCTTTGACCCTTCTGTTTTTATCCCTGCATAACTTTACATCACCCTTGTAGTTCTCCCAAATTTCCTGCTTCTTCTTTCAAAGGTCATAAAATCTCCTTTTTTCCTTGAGTTCCAGCCCAAGCTCTCCATTCAGCCAGGTCTTCCTTGCCACCTAACCTTTTGGCACATGGGGATGGCCTGCTCCTTCACCCTCTTGAAGAATGTCCAGCCTTCCTGGACTTCTTTGCTCTTCACTACTGCCTCCCAAGGGACTCTGTCAAACAATCTCCTCCACAGGCCAAAGTCTGCTCTCTCTCATCCAAGGAGGAAGTTCTGCTCTACCTCCTTACTTGTCCAAGAACCAAAAAAATCTCTCATTTCATGATCACTGCCCAAGATGGACTCTCTAATTATGGGAAAGGCTTTGACACAGGCTGGCAACTTGCATACCCAGGACCTTCAAAAGGATTTGTATGGTCGCCAGAAACATGTAAAATGCTAACTTTCACGCAAGAAAGTTGTTCAGCATACTGAGGAACTCAAGAGACAAAGTTCTAACAAGTCAAAACACATAAAACACATAATGAAGGGCTCACTGAGTATCTATCCTGAAAGATGCTTTGGGAAAATAGATTGACAAATCCCCACCAAACAACAAAATCAGGTGTCCTAGTTACTGGGGCTGGGTCCAGTTTATCGCTATGTGGGTATAACTAAAACTGTGTATTCTACACCCTCTATGTCATTTCTGATGGACTATTACTAATGGATCGCTTGCAGCAGCTGCCCAGGGCCCACCTGACACCTTAGGCTACAAGCTGAGGCAGGGGAGTTTTTCTTTGTCTTCACACCAATGACTCACCTGTGATAACCCCCCTCCAGTGAGGCATTAGCACCTTCACACCCAGCCTGAGGGGTCATCTCTGCTGAAGGATCATACTGAACTGGCATAATAGGCAGCTGCAAGACCTAGACCATCAAAGATTCCAAAAATATCCCAGAACTCATAGAGTTAAATCATCCATTGTGAAACTCCCCGCCCTGGGTGAGGTACTGGACATTCCACCCCGAACCTGAGCATGTATAATCTTGGGGTTTTGGAACTTCTGGTACCGCTTGTCGGATCCAGAGGAGGACCAGAACTTCAACAGGACTGCGACTGCCACTCTCGACAAGACTGTGATCATTACTTCGACAGAACTGCCACCATCATCTGCACGAACAGGTTTCCTTTCCTTTTGCTTTGTGCCCAGGGTGGCCAATGAACACCATTCTGTTCTTGTCCCAGGGTGCAGGGTTATACATCTGTCTTCAGGGGTTAAAACCAGTTTTCTCTGTATCTTTGTATCTATTCTCTGCATTGTATTTATCATAATCCTTTTAGTAAATTGTAACTTTGACTTGTAATATCTCTTGAGCTGGGTTCATTTCTCCCATTGGTTTACTTTTAAAACAGCACATTGGGCCATAGAAATACTTCTGCAACTTTGAGTGATTTTTAATTGTTTTGCAACCTCAGCTAAACGCACTTTGGTATCTATGCATAGGATCAGTAACAAAAAAAAGTGTTCATAACACTTTTCACTTGTTCTTGAACTTCTGAGCTGGCAGTGGCATATGAAGTGTGTGTTTTGTCTGACAATGCAGAAAGCAGTTATTAAGTGCTGAAACACGTTGCACATAAGGCTATTTTCAATACAGCTTTTAAATCTCTTTTTACACATTCATTATTTGTGAGATGAACCATTATTGGGGAAATGAACCAAAGTATATTTTTTCACTGAATGTAAAACAGAACAAATGCTTCACTCTTAGAAACATTTGACTTTTCAGATGTTCAGCAAATTTGTTCAGATTTCTTATGAAAATATTTCAAGAACTGAAGTAAACACTAAGATCATATTCTTCGTCTTCCTGCTGAACTCAAGACTAAATTTAAAGGTGCAGAAAGTTAACTGAATTGAAAAGCATTTGCTTTCAATAAAAGCACTGAAGTAGGACCTAATTTGAAAAATACATCCAAATTCATCATCATGGAAGACATTGCAAAATAATTGTTTGGTTTGCTGACAGGTAGGACTGGTGGTAATCAAAAACTTAAGTTACTCAGGTAGCTTTGAAAAACAGTATGATAGGACATCTGGTAAATGACTTTTTTTTTTCCTAAAGGTGGCAGAAATTGCCAGATATAAACACTGCAGGTGAAAACTATTGGAGAGTATTTGTGTGAATGCAGTGTAGTGACATCTATCTTAAGATGGCAGAATTTGTGATTCTGAGGAAAAGTATGTGCAGCATTGTAAGGACAATATATTTGAAAAAATACAAAGTCAGACCAATAAACTTAGGCAACCATTTTCTATCCTCTCTTGCTAAGAGTCTGAGAGAGACAGGGCTTTGAAGGGGCTGGCAATTAATAAAAGGCATTATAATGAAGGTTAAATGACAAACTATTTCTCATGAAGAAAGGCAGAAACCATACTAGGAGCTCAAAAGGTCTGGTTCAAAAGTTCTTTAAAAATTTGAAAGTCAGAATGAAGTTGTGCAAGTGAGTGGAATCAAAGGACAAATCCTAAGAGCGATTATACCAGAATAACACAATAACTGCTTATGCTAAAATTAGAGATTAAGATTAAAAAGGTTACCACTATCAGGGGACATAAAAACTCAACAAATATTCTGTAAATGTATTGGATATAAAAAGAAGTCAGACCCAAAAATCCATTATTTAATGAGGGAGACAGGCAAATGACACTGATTTTTTTTGTTGCAGACTTCATAAACAGTGATCAGATACTTAATGAAATGCATTTTAATGAAAGAGTAGGACTGGACGCATCTCAAAGATACACTTGACACCTAACTACTTCAGTAAGTAGCAAGTGGTAAGGACAGATAAAATTCTATAGGCACCTTGTGAACAAGCAGAAGTCCTCTCAACTATTTACAATGACCTTTTAGAAGTCATGGAGGTCCCAGAGGATTTCAGTGGGCCTATATTTTGAAAAGGGGAAAAGCTAAGTGAAATAAAGAAGAGTGAGCTACATTTCAAAACACAGAAAATAAGAGAAAAAACCCCCAAACCAGTGGATGATAAGATGATGAAAAGCAGCCAGCAAAGACTGGTCAACAAAGAAATCAAACCAAACTTGTATCTCCTTGCTACATGGATCCTTCCCTTTCCCAATCTTTGGTCCTTCCTCTAAACATTTCGTAGATAGTGCCACATGCTCCATTAAAAGTATCCCATAATAACCTTTAAACAATTCCAAAGTGCCCTTTCCCCTACATCCCACAGAGAGTACCCTGTAGGTAATACTTCACTCTGCAAGGAGCTCTGGGAGTTTTTCTTTGAGTTTTACACCAGGGACAATGGTTCTTTGATAGTCTTAAGAGCAGAGAAGTCTGTGCCTTCCAATGTTCACTAATTATCTTAATAGGGATCCTCTTCATGTTATTCATGTGAACCTTTACAGGCTTTTTAGTTTAGCATGATTAATACCATAGTCTAAAACCAACACAGTCCAATGACCACAACCTGTGACTTGGGAGACTGAAACTGGACATCAGGGAAAGTTTGTTCACCAGGAGTAGTGGAGAATAGCAAAAGGTTTCCCAGATGGGTTGTGGAACCTCCATACTTGGAGGTTTTTAATACTGGCTATATATAGCATGACTGAACTGGTGTTGGTGATAATCCTGCTCAAAGTGAGGTTGCCTAGAGACCACCAAAACAACCAACACTTTACCAACTGTCTGGACTTTGGAGACAATAAACCTTAAAAGTATCTAACATTTCAGGTTTGATCCAGATTTGGCATATTGCAAAATATGAGTCACATTTTAAACACTATTTATCTAGGTATCAGTCAGCTTTCAGGATAATTTCTACTATAAAAAACACATTTAGTAAAATCAGTAAGATGAAAATATTTTCCATCTCAATGCACCAGTTTTACCTCAAGTACCTGATCCAAAACAAACAGAAAAAAAATTTGATAAGTACCTGCACAAATATTTGATTCAACAATTTCAGATGATTATGACCCCAAAGATTTTTAATAAGCAATTTGTTGATCTTAATTTTAAATCAATTAGCTATATAATTTAGTTTAAAACATTGTAGCTTAACCTTGTAATATAGGAGTCTAAAAATTATTTTCTCAACTGGGAAAAGAAGCAGCTGGGATCATTGCCATGGCAACCATCTCATTTCCAAATACAGATTCTGTGACTTCTGTTGCTCTCTAGCAACCTCACCGCTCAGTAGCATTGCTTAAAAAAAAAAGGGGGGGGATTTTTCATATAGAGCAATATACCATTGCAAGAAATGCTTGGAAGGATCAGAAAAAGAATGCTTCGAAACATAATGCAGACATAATTAAACAAGTTAAATTCTCAGTCTGATGATGAGCCCAAGTTAAAAACCAAACCAAAAAACCAAACCAAAACATGTATATCCCATCACTCTAACTGTCACTCTGTGCAACTGACTGTGGAATCAATCTCTCCTGGAAATGATGTTTATCACAGATCTCACTGTCTCACACTAACTACATGACTTAGTTTCTTGATCCTGCTATTTAAGGAAAATGGATAGCAACATGAAAAATACACAGGGGGTGCATAGGGTAGGAGCAGAAAAATTTCTACCAAAACAACACATTTCACTGCCCACAGCTCTCCCCAGGAGAGGTTGAGATCACATCATAAGAATTAGTCAGATTGCTCAGTGACTATTGAAATGAACTATTTTAAGGAACTATGGTGTTAAGAACCTATAGTCTAAGAACTTGAACAGAAAACCTGCAATACCCCTTTAATATACTGGTTCTGAAATGTGGCAGGGTATCTATCATAGTAGTTAGGTTTGGCCGATAGAAAAGCACACACACGTACACACACGCTGCACAAGGAGTTGAGACAAGAGCTGTCTGCCGCGTCAGCGCAGCAGCATCCTTTATTGGGGCAGCTAGCCCACATTTTCTCACACACTTTCTGTAAATAACATAATTTCTACAAAACATCGTCACTATGCATCTGCACCATGAACACAGCCAATATTCTTGTCCTTGTACATTTTATCCTCCCTAAAACTGCTTATCACCTTTCCAATTAACTCCCAACTTCTCAAGGCTGCTCTGTTCATGGGAATGGTTAATGAGCTTCCCTGCTCTCACAGGAACAGTCTTATGCCATCCAAAACATTATGTTCGTCAACTTCTAGGGGCTTAACGGGCCTGCTGCTTCCCCCCACACTGAAACAACCTATAGAATTTAGAAATTAAGGGAAGTTCATGCACAGATCTCATGGTTATGGTTTAAATTCTCATTTATTTATCCTTGCTTCAGTCTAGTGGGCAAATGACCTTTCCTGACTACTGCCTTTTAAGCACTGCATGGTTATGGCGTACTTGTGCCACAGATGACAGTCACTCAGAGGAGACTGTCTGGAAGTGCTACAGCAGTACAAGGCCATACATATGCTAGAAGTACATTCCTACAGTGTAGGCTAGGAGTTTTTCATAATGTACTATTTGCAGCCACGCTGTCTGTGTTCCACTGCTAAGACCAATAGCACTTGCATTGGCTGGAGAAAGAATACTAAACTTCCCTTCGAAAGAAACATCGTGTAGAAGAGCAAGATCTTCAGATGTGTTCACATCTTTTTCCACAGGTATTAATATAACCTGGCTGCGCTGGCAATTTTAGTCTGTATTTTGTTCATAAAGGAGCTAACCGAAGCATGGAAGCACTGCTAAAAATAGCAAACATGGTAGAGTCCAATTCATGGTTTGGACTTCTGTTGAGAAACCATATTAATATTCTCAGTAACACATATTGTTACTGCAGAAATACCTGCTTATTCAAATTCCTAATTTGGAACATAAAAGAATGATTAGCCAGTAAAAATATGTAAACACAAACTATACGTAAAGTATTAAAAATACTTAAAGAAAAGAGTAGAAAATATAAGCACTATCAAAGAATTAAAACAACAAACAGTGCTTAAATCAGGTTAAAATTTTAAGTCTTTATAGACGTAACCAATTCTTGCAGAGAAGCAAATTTGAGAAAGTAGAAGTTTATTTAGTTAAAAAGAAAAGCTATCAAATTTGAACAATGTACAAAAGATTAAAAAAGGCTAATGATGGACCACAAAGCTATAAAGGAACTTAATGACCTTCAGAGGGCAAGTGTATTCCATCATATACAAAAGATGTAGAAAGAGCTACAATGTATGAAGGAGAGCAGATTTTTTGTAATACAGATTTAAGACTGAAAGAGGCAGAATTCTACAAGTGTGTTTCTTTCCAATGCAATACTAATGAAGTGGGTTGAAAGCAGCAGGCAACTTTTGGTGTTGGTTACTAGGACTGAAGCTGACATTTTTCATGACGAGCTGTCTAGGCCCTTTGGACATTTTGTTCAATTTTATTTTTTCCCAATAAAAAAACCTGTAAACAGTACATTGTGTTAAACTCTTGTATTTGCAGTGAACTGGGTCTGATTCTGTACAATCCTTCTAATACTATCCTCAGGGTACACTTAAAGGTTTTGAAAAAAAACCTCTACAATAAAATAAGTCTCAAACATATTACAACTAGCTAAAGTTCCACATGCACAGAAAATTATATTGTCATTAAATCTTCCTAACTTTACTGGAAACAAAGTATTATCAAAGGGTCACTGCCAGCATAATTCAAGGAATAACCTTATAATTTCAAAAGTAGACATGTTTTCCTGAAGAATCGGTATTTATTATGTCAGAGGATTCATAATCCTTTATGGCTTTTGAAACAACAGAAATAAAATAAACTAAAATGCCACAACCTATTTGTGACCTCCACTAGCTCAATCTGAAAAGAGACTAAAACTCAATACTATTCGTACAGACAATTTTGTGACTAAAAGCTCCCCGAACATTGTATTAATTTATGGTCTGAATCACCTGATTTTACACAGAGTTCAAAACAGATCTAGGGTCCTGTCTTCACAGCCACTGAAATGATGAAAGAGGTAAGACTTTTTGAAATTCAATTTTTTTTTCACTATTGATACTGCTTGCTTTTTGGCTCTTAAAAGTATAATAATGTATTTAACCAGTCCATTGGCAGACTATTATACATAATGAAACCTATAGTAAGTGGGGGAAAGCTGGCTAGGTTGGGAAGATTTAGGGAAGAACCTTAAATGGGTGCCCAGTTTTTATGTAGTGATAGAGGGAAAGACTGATGATCTTGATCTCTTGAATAGTACAGCAATCCTATCCAGCTGGAAAGAACCACTCACCTGGTTAACATGCAAAACCAGAAATCAGCTTTTAAGCTGTGACTACAGTTGATTTGCTCACTTATAACCATTTGTCCATATATGCTGGCACTACTGCCAATGCTACGGTCATCTAGAAAAAAATGTCTGTAGAACATCACAAAAATATTTTTCATCGACAACTTTTTGCAGACCTTAATATTAGTGTCAAATATGCCATGACAGCAATGTTTATATTTTCTTCTACCTTTGGGATCTTTCTCCAAATTTTTCTCCTTACAGTTAGTTATAGTTTCAGGTATTTTACTAAATGAAACATCACCAGAGAACTTCACTGGACATGGGAGATAATTAACGGAGATAGAGACCATGATTAAGCCTATTAAATAGGACTTTCCCAAGCTCTGTGTACCACAGGTGCATCTTGTGCTTTTCCTGCCCAAGAACGTGCAAAATGTGCATATGTATTTTTTTTAACCTTTCAACATACTTTCCTCAATAAATCTGTTTTTCCACTGATACGAAGCTCAAAATTTTAAGTTCTTTCTTAGCCCATCAACAGTAGATGTAAACAACTTGTATTTTCCTTCAGTTTGTTAAACAAGTCTAATATACAGCCATAGGTATCCGTATTTCATTCATGTTTTCAATCATTGAAAACAACTAAGGATTTCTTATTATTTATATTTTATACTGGTTATTTTCAAATTGGTTTCAAATGAAACATAAAATTATAGGAATACAAATTCACTATTTACTCACTATTAATAGGAGTAGGATTAAGGTCAGACATGATCTTTTAGACACAAAAGTGAAATCCTTTTAGTACCTTAAGGTATTGCTATCACTGTTAGCCTTTAAAAACAGGGTCTTTTATCAAACTGTAAAAGAAACTTTGCCCTTTGAGGTACTGATCACACATGACTTTTATGCAATTCAAGGTCCACTAACACCCAGGTGGAGATGTTTAAATGGATCTTAGTGATTTAATATACTTTTCACTAAGTTGGAAAATGATATGCACTTAAAATTGCCTAGATTGCTTTGAAAATCTTGACGTGGTTACTGAAATGGGTTGCTCTAATAGATACGTATCAAGAGCTACATAATAATGCTTAACAAAGGAACTCTTTAACAAGATTACATACTGGATTTTCTTCAGTAAGCTCATAGCCATGCTATCTGAGTACCCAATATTCATTACTAAATTTATCTTCACAACTACTTTTATGAGACAAGCTTCTCATACCTCAAACACAAGAAATTGAAACAGAAATCAGAAATGATTTGCACAAAGTCCAACAGTTGTATCAGGACCTAAGGCCTTGATTCTAAAGTCCTCTTCACAAACACAAATCCTAACCACAAGCCAGCTTGTCTCTGTGAAGCAATGCACACCCCATTTATGGAGCCATTATCGTCCCCACTTTATCAAAAAGATAAAGAGCATCAACAAATATTTTTTGTTCAAAACAGTGAGGTGAAATAGCTATGCATTAATTTTTTTCTTTACATGTGAAGAATGTAAGCATCTTTGATGATGTAATTGATAAAATTATTTCAAACTGTTCTAAACACCTTCCAGGCCATCTTAAATGACTAATAGCTAACACAGACTTCAGCAAAATATGTCTCCTCTCCCTTCTACATGGCCTGTCATAAACTCAGTTGCCTACTCATTCAGAATGTAGCTAAATGAGCTTTTCAACTACAGATCCTTAAGACGCAGTGAGTTCATTGTATTACGCACACTCAGTGCCAGAAACAGAGAATTCCTGTCTCTGACTGCATGTTTCTGGCACTTACTTTCTGCTAGCCTTAGGATTTCTTTGATCCTTCTGTGAGCTGATTTAACTCTCTAAAACATAAGAGAAATCTAGCAGAAAGATGAACCAATTTCTCTTGCTAAGTCAACGAATGACAAAGCCTGAGAACTTGTACCAGAACTTGTAGTCAGAAGGCAGCAGGGTTACCCAGTCAAAGAGGAAGCATGTCTTCCTCTTTTTGCCAATAAGGAAATCAGCTTGTCTATAGTCCAAGCAGATTCTGTAAATCTTTACTTTCTGTTCTGAGGTATCAGTTGCTCCAACATACAGTCTGCCTTATCTCAAATAGCCTCACTAAAAAGCAGCTACATTTTTTTTTGGAAAACGGAGTTGCCAGACCTAACACAGAAGAAAGACTACTAAAAATCTGTAAATAAGAAAACAAAACTGAACTGTAACAAATATTTACTTTCTGCAGAAAGAAAACCTTGCATTATAATAGTAACTGCAACAGCAAAGCTATCAAGTTAAGTTTTGCCTAGTGGCATTTATGATAGCCCAAGACCACATTACAACTTTAATTGACTGTGCTGGTTTTGGCAGTGACAGTTATATCCTTCACAGCAGTTAGTATGGGGCCATGTTTAGGATTTGTGCTGGAAACAGTGTTGATAATACAGGGACGTTTTTATTACTGCTGCACAGTGCTCCCCCAGAGCCGAGGCCTTTTCTGCTCTTTACCCCACCCTGCCAGTGAGGGGACTGGAGATGCACAAGAAGTTGGGAGGGGACACAGCTGGGACAGCTGACCCCAACTGACCAAAGGGATATCCCACACCATATGGCCTCATGCACAGTTTATAGAGCTGTGGGAAGAAGGGGGTACATGTAGAGCAATGGTTCTTGTCTTCCCAAGCAACCATTATGCATGATGGAGCCCTCCTGTCCTAGGCATAACTGAACTCCTGCCTGCCCATGGGTAGTGGTGAATGAACTCCTTGTTTTGCTTTGTCTGCATGTGCAGATTTTGCTTTCCCTATTAAAATGTCTTTATCTCAATCCACAAGCATTCTCATTTTTACCCTGCTGATTCTCTTCCCCATCCCACAGAGGAAAGTGAGCGAGCAGCTGTATGCAGCTGAGCTGTCAGCTGAAGTTAAACCACAACAATGACCAAGTGACTTTAAGTGACCAAAGCACTCTGGCTAGATAGAACCTCTTTGCTCACTTGACAGACAGATTCCAGCTCTAAAATAAAACAAAATAAAAAAATGGTACCGTTGTAACTAGCATTAATTCAGCAGAATAACAGACTTCTACAAATTACTTTATCACAAAGGTGTCTGAAAAGGAGGTGAATAAAATACAAGATTCAGGTAATAACATTAGGTAACAAGATTTTTGGGCTTGGATTTTTCAGATAACAGGTTTCTGAGAGTCGGGGAGAATTTTCTGTGGAGGGAGGCAAGGAAGAGACACTGCATCTGATCCTGATGCACAAAGAAACTGCCTGGACATTTATACATAAGTTCTAAGAAAATGAGAAGTGTTTAATATTCCATATGCTCCTTTAAAAGTTTTACTAGGATCTTTACAATTTCCATCAACTTTTTTACTCTGAACATTTAACAAAGACTTTCATCTTTTCATGGCCTGAAATCACCATTCTCCCTTGAAGACAAATGAAGAATGTGAACAGACACAATGAAAGAAGGCAGAAATATTGCTGGTCCTACTTAACATGGAAAAATGCATCACTATGATTATTAACTACCAAACAAACTATGCTTAAAACAAGTTAATGCAATTGTCATTCCAATTGCTGTTAAACAAAAGTGATTGTGGCTTGTACTTTCAGGATAGCATAGTAACATTGCTAAATGCTCCATCTTCAAAAGACTGCTCCCTGTTTTTCATAAAAATTTTTCAGCAAGGTACTCTGAAAGAGGTTGTTTGCTTGCTTGTTTTTCCCCACCAAGGCAATGTGACATTCATTTCAGTAAATCCTTTCAGCAAGACTACCCAAATATTCTCTTGTCACCATTGAATATATTTTACTTAATACATGAAACAAAAAGACCATTCAAGCAAAACAAAAAGGGAGCAAAACTGTGCAGCTTACTGTGCAAAGACTGAAGTCTTCGTTGTCCACAAAATTATTGGGTTATTTCTTCTCCAACATCTTAAAAGTTGCCTTAATCCTCTGAATGAGTACTTATTCTTTTGCAGCTTTTATGTTTCACAGCATACTTCGAAGTATGTATTCTAAAAAAATTTATACCTCTTCTAAGTGTTTGGCACAACAAATAAATGTATTAGAATTGATTTTGCTTCAGGTGTACTGTAGGTGAATGTTAAATGTTAAACCCATTTTGGGAATCAGATATACATTACTGACATTGCACAGTACTGTTACCTAAGAAGTTAGCAATTGTAAAAATGGAAGAGAACACCATTTATGCTGAATAAAAAATATTTATGGATGGTTGTGAGACACTGGATTATTATATTAATTATTGGCTTGGACTTAGTCAAGTGTGTAGGGAATGGGGTGTGGGGAATAGGTTGAATTCCAAGAAAGTGGAATAGTGTCCTGTCCCATACCCCAGCCCCTTGGAATCTCCTTGAGCAGCCCCAGAACAGCTGTCAGTCACTGGCACTGCAGTGAGCATTGCCCACACCACACTCCCCCCCGATCCAGCCCCAGAATGGCTGGCACACCTGAACACTGCCCCTTACCCTACCCCGGTGCTCCAGAGTGGCCAGCGGGCCAGAAGTCCTTCCTGGAAGGGGTGGCCACAGGGGGCCAGAGCAGATAAAACCAGCACCATGCAGCCATCGTGTGACTGTGACCCTGCCATCTCCTGGACTCCTGGTAGCTGGATCTATGCTGGATCTGGGGTGGTAACTGTAATTCTCTCTTTTTCTCCCTCTTTCTTTACTTCTTCTCCTAATCTCTTTTCTTGATATTTGGGTAACTAAAAAGTGGATGGGTTGGATTTTGCTAAGCTGTATGGGCAACCAGGTGCTAAGTCATTGCTTTGTGAAAAGCTTTAATTTGAATGTTGCCCTTAAACTTTTGTCAAGTTCCCTCATTTTTTAAAGTTTGCCAGTAAAAGCATGTCATTTAACCTGCTGAGTAACATGTGCAGCACCCTTTCCTGTGCGCTCTCTCAAGGTATAAAAGACCTGAAGGCCCTTTTAATAAATCCAGTGAGTGGATTTTTTGAGCCTTGTATATTTTTAGAGTAAAACCTCTTTGATGAGCTTGTGGGGCGAGCCTGGGGTCTTATAAGTTGCTAATGTGGTTTGACAGGTATTGGTGTCACTTTAATTTGCAAATGTTCAGCTAGTGGAAAACAATCAATTGTTTGAACTTTTCTCTGAAGTTACCAGGTAGCTTGAAAAGATACTGCATAACATACAGGCATGCTCAAGAACAAAGTTTTGCCAGTGACTCAGCATACTTAGTAACAGCCATATACTTTGAAATATAATTTAAAAGATGAGTGGGATTTATCTTCCTACTACACTTTTAGTTCTTTTCTTTCATTTTAAAATGATTTAATTTTCAAGTAATTTAAAATTCTGTATTTGGCCTCAAATCA